GAACCTTTATGTACCTAACCCATACTTAGAGCCTGTAGTTAGAAAAACTGATAAATTCACAAAACCATACTTAGGGAGATTTTAATATACCCATCTCAAAAACTGAAAAATCAAGTAACCTAAGTAAGAAAACAATTAACAAGATTCTTCTAAAAGATATAGAGAGATTTATGCCCAACAGAAAGTAGGCATGGTTTTCAAATACCCATGGACATTAACAAAAACTGACTGTGTGTTAGTTTTGTGGCTATAAAAGAAAATGTCAACCAATTCTAAAAAGTAGATGTAGCACAGGGCATGTTCATGGTTGAGAATGCACCAAAATAAGACAGGAGCAAATAATGAATAGCCAAAGATAAAAATAAACCCAAAACCAAATGCACTATCCTCTTGAAAATAAAAAACACTTTTAATAAGTGCTTAATATAACTCTTAGGTTAAAATGGAAATATAAACTGAAAGTATAAACTATTTAGCAATGAACATGAACACACTATATGCCAAAATCTGTGGGTACAACAAAGTGCCACTTGGAGGAAAATTTAGATTTTCTACTATGCTGTCCAGTAAAACTTTCTGCAGTGATGAAAATGTTCTGTAATTATGCTGTCTGATATGGTAGCCACTTAACCACATGTAGATATTGAGTACTTTAAATGTGACTAGTGCAACTGAACTGAATTTTAAACTTTATTCAATTTTAATTAACATAAGTTTAAATTTAGCCACATGTAGGTACTGTATTGGACCCCACAGTTCTACAGTCTAATAAAGCATTACCAGAAAAAAGAGATAGAAAAAATTAATTAAATATTAATTCCTACTTTGAAAGCAAGATGAACTCAATGCCAGTAATAAATATTTTTATATATATATTTAAATTAATACATTTCAAAATATAGGTGTAATGGGCTTCTAAAAATATACATGAACAAAATTCACTTAAGGTGGAAAACCTAAGTTTGCCAGTAATCATTAAGGGGCTGTAAATGTAGTCTAAGACCCACCTCTATAAATGTCTTCAGGACCAGATTTTATAGACACATTTTATCTAAACTTCAAGAAACAGATAATTTCTATGTTTTATAAAATATGTAAGACCATAGACTAATGTTAAAGCTTTCTATTTCATTCTTTAAGGCTGGCATAACCCTGATACCCAAAGTAGACAAGATAATACAATAAAATAAAATTGTATCTAGTTTTACTTATGAACATAGATGCAAAAATCTAAAAATAAATGAATTGATTTCATTCCACACTTTGGATAGGTTTATTTCAGCAATGCAATAATGGCTCTGCATCAGGAGATCTGTTACTGTAATGTGCTTAACACATTAATGTATAAAAAATAATATGATCACGTGCATACTAAAAAGCATTTAGTAAATTTCAACACCCATTTCTGATTTACAATTTTTAGCCTCCAAATAAAGAGAAACTTTTTTCAACTTGATAAAAGATATTGAAACCTTCGGTAATATTCAGTTGTAAAAACTTTTCAAATATTCAGTCATAAAAACATTTGAAATATTCCCACTAAAGTAAGGAACAAGGCAAGAGTGCCCACTGTCACTTCTGCTGTTCACCTTTATTTTAGATGTTCTAATCAATTCTTTAAGGTCAATGAGTAAAAGGCATAAGTTCTAGAGACAGAGACTAAAATGTATTTGAACTAAATAGAGAATACTATAAAGTACTCAAAGTAAGTTTCTCATACAGAAATCAATAATAGCACTTCTATATGTCAGCTATAATCAGAAAATGTAGTGGGTGAGAAAAGGTATCTCCTTCTCAGTGACCTTCAAATGTTGGAAACTCTAGGAGTAAATATATGAGTACACATGCAAAATCTATATGAAAGTAACTGTAAGTTTGAAGAACATTAAAAAAAGACCCAAATTCTATGAGAATCATTCCTCCTAAATAGGGAGATTTAATACAGCAACAATATTCCCTAATTAAAATAAATACAGCCATAATCAAAACTTCAACAAGGTTCCTTGACAATCTGATGCTAAAATTCTATTGGAAGAGAAATTGTGGGAAAACATCTGAACCAAATTGAAAAATAACAAGGAGAGAACCATATGTTCTCTCAAATATTAAAACATACTACAAAGAGCTAGTAACTAAACAGTGTGGTACCAACCAAGAATAGGCAAATAGATCAGTGGGTAAGAATGTAGTCCAGAAACACATACACACACACACACACACACACACACACACACACACACGTGGCATTTGAAAACACTGAAATTTAGCATGTTCATTAATGCTGTTATGACAATTAGCTCTGCATTTGAAAAAGATGAAATCAGATACATACCTCATGTTAATCGCCAATAAATTCCAGACAGCATAAAAAGCTACATGCTAAAACTAAAACCATAAAAGCATTAGAATATACTATCAAAACATATTTTATCATAACCAGAGATGGCATAGAAAGCAAGACAAAATTCACCAAAGCCATAAAAGAAATGGTAGACTTCTTACTAAAATATTAGAGAACTTAAGATCAAAATTATAAAGTTTGAGTGACACATTGGGAAAAAATAGTTGACTAGTATCCAGAATACATAAACTCCTACAGAACAAGAAAAAAAACCACAATTCAGAAGGTGGGCAGAGGTAATAAATGGGCATGTGTAATTATTAGAATATGCAATGAATAGAAATGCAAATTGCCACTGAAAAGATGCTTACCTTCACCACTAATTAGAAAAGTGCCAATTAAAAGAAAATTAAGGATTTTTTTCAAAATATTGGCAAAAGTTTTAAAAAGATGAAGATTAACCAGTCTTATTAAGGGTATAGGGAAATGAATACTCATACATACTTTTGGTGTGAATGGAAATATTTGTATCTTGTGGGGAGAACAATTTGGCAGTATGTAAGTTGAAAAACAAGCAAATATTTACTTTCTGATCTTGTAGTTTTGACTCTCTGGTATATCCTCATTTGTGCAAGGATGTATTATATAAAGGTGTTCATCACAGCATTGTAATAACATCAAAACCCAGCATCAGGAGAATGGCTCAGTCACTTATTATCACTGGAAATAAGGAAGACTTGATCAAAATGACAGATGAGCACATCCACCCCAGATCCTAACAAATGATAGAAAACATATTTTTTTTTTTCCTTTTTATCTTTTTTTTTTACTGACCGGTAACGGGATCGCAACCCTCGGTGTCACGCCCGTACCGAGGACCGGCAACGGGATCGCAACCCTCGGCGCCACGCCCGTACCGAGGACCGGCAACGGGATCGCACCACTCGGCGCTGGGCCCGCACCGCGGCAAA